TTTATGTAGTGTCAAATTAGCCACTTATATAAGAAAATAAATGGCGAGAGATAAATAGCACGACATCAGTAATTTGGTCTAAACGAGTATCCTAACAATGGAGTCGTAATGGTAACAGTAATTGTGTATGTACAAAACAGAGTCGCTGAAAATCCATCAAAATGCAGGAGAAACTTACAGTTTTGGGCAACATATGTTAACCTTTAATCACATTTCCTGGTGACGAGAACCCAGCTGACTTCTTTCTCGAGCTTGACTTGGGAAAATTTGTGAGTGCTGATCCGGGGTAAAGGGCCCAAGTTGCTTACAAAAATTACTGGCCGGTGCAAAAGCACAATTTTCTCCTGGCGAAAATTACGGTGACAAACGCGTCCGTCAGTATCCCCTCCTTAGCCATTGATATACAGTATCTTCTGACCTAAGCTAATAGTGTGACCAGGTTAGTGTTTAAAGTTAATAAGTAAGATGAATCTCACAGAATTTTCCCCTTCCCCTGAAATACGTGCTACAGAGGGTACAGAAGATACCTACAGGATGAGATTTAAATTCATGATGGACGGAAATTTGGATTGGGCTCAAATAAATAGAAAATAGCTGGGCCTGTATTAAGAGGGGAATGAAATTAGGTGCAGAGGCGTACAAAATGCTGAATGGGGGATTATGCGAAGCACCCTATCTTGCTGCCCAAAACCATACCTGACAACTTGATTGTCTTTAATCCTTAAGAACTGAGCACGTGGGTACTGGATACATTAAACTGTTTCGGGAAACCTTCTGGATTCCACAAGTCGCAAGTGTAAAGGGGTTATCAATCGTGTTAATCGGTCGCCGGGTGATGCCAAACATACATGGACCCAGTTCCTCCAACCATTCCCAAGAAACCGTGCAGTTGTATAACCATTTGATGTGACTCGAGTGGACTATATGGCCTATCATTTTGACAGGTACTTCAGTGGTGTCCCTTGATGGTTATGTATGTCTATTTAATTTGGACAGCTACTAGCGGTCATCTAAAGTGGCCTCAACTTGTCTGCAAACAGTTCATACAGCTTCCGAAAATTTGCAGCTAGACGATCCTGCCCTAGATTGTGATCTCAATAATGCCACCAATTTTGTAGCGGGGGCTCTACATTTTGATGAAATTAATTAAGAGTGAGGATGTAACAGTCTTTGTTGTCCCAGCGAGGTGGGTCTGGAAATTTATTAATCCAGAGCCCCCGGCAGGGAGGACTGTTACGAAAGAATGATAGGGACAGTGAAAAGTTGTCTTCGGTAAAGGTGCTACACAGAAGAGAATTGATTTGGAGGAGTTCCGGGCAGTGGTGGTGGCGCTAGAATCGAGTGAACATACGCCCCTGTACATACATGAGCGACACTCCTGACGCGGAGATTCTGACTCCCTCTCACCTAATAGTGTGGACAAAGGTAAAAGCTGCGCCATCGATAGAGATAATCCGAGGGAAGGGAGAGGATTACATTACGGACGTGTGATGACAAGTTCAAAATGGTAAATAAGGTAATTATTCATGATGTCTGATGTGTGGCGTAAGAATTTCGCTTACATTACTGAACTCCTGTTAATATGTCCCAGAGGCAGTAAACCACAGAACATTCATCCAGTGACTTGTGTTGAATTGAGTACTGAACAACATAGACACGGGGCCTATGGCATGGTATTTACATATTCCCTAGCACAAGTGTTGTCAGAAACGTCCAAAGTGTTTGTGTCGTGGTCAGGAAAGTTTTGCGTTAACCATTAATAAATTAATTCCCTTAGAATTAAATGAGGTTCATTCCATGCAGATGAAACCGTAGGAAGGAACACGTGTGATATTGAAGACACTGACCGGGTAAGGCAAGAAAACCTGTATAAGACCCACTTGGAAACAGCAGCGCTATCCTAGAGAGGCTGAACCGGCTCCGAGGAAGACGCAATTTAAGTCGTCTAACACGACTTCCGCCGCCCGCAGTGTGGAAAATTTTTAATTTCCGAAACTATAGCGCCTAATAGGTGTTTTTTTTGTGCCGATCTGAGTCACATATGTATTTGAGACAAGAACAGGAGACTCCGCTAAGTGCCCTATGTCGGAGCATGCGCGGATAGGGTAGTTGCGGGTCGAGGATCGGAGTACCGTATACTGTTGTGAAGAGTGAGAGTCGAGTGAGAAGCCGGGGAAACATGATCCACGTAATTGACTTCACGTGGCCTAAGGAGTATATAGGCCCTCAGTTCATAATAAAGAATGTCGTAACCTGTTCCTGGGGGAGAGGGGGGAACGGGATTTACGGGACCACAGTAATAGAGTGGTAAAAATGTGATAAAGAAGGACCGGGGACTGACGCGTCGCAATGGACTGGTCCTGGGAAAATTCCCCTTTGGGATTAATCATCACTCATCGGTCTCAGATTTTAATGGAGGACCTCTATTTTTGTATAATAGTTATGAGACTTAAATCGTTTTGGGTAATTGTAAGAAATTTAAATTTGATAAATAACGCTAATTTAAAGAAAAGTGAAGTGAGATAAGTCGTTTGCTCTGAGTGAACACGCTAGACCTCGTTGTTAACGAGACGGGGAAAGGGAAACTCCTTGAGTCACGACGTCTAAAAGCAGGACAAACCAGGGGATACCTCGTCCGCTGGAATGAGAATCGTGTCGTGTAGCAGGACACGAAAATGAAGGGTGAATCAAAAAATGGGGAATATCAATCACCCACAGTTAAGAAAACCCTTCTAGTTATAGCAACCTTAACTGGCCAGTAGTGGTATTTTTATAATTAGATGGGTTACGACTGATCCAGCTACATCAAGTGACCACCAAGAACATCTGGTAAGTAGTGGGATTATGTACAAATGTTTTCCTTGAGGGATGTATCCATGTGTATCCCAACCCCCCCCCCCTTCATTCAGCTAAACTAATATAATCCTATACAGTCCACAAATAATTGGTAGCACCGTACTTGTGGGTGCTATCCAATCTATACGGGTCTCGGATAGATATGGAAAGATAGTGAGGTCGAGGGGACCACCTGCCGCGACCAGAGGTGGTTAAGTTTTCTCACATGTCTACACGGGGTGACTACGGTAAACATATAGTCAAGCACCCTAGGAAATTTTCCATATTACGTAAAGCTTTTGTTTACATTTTAACCATGACTTGCTCCACAAAAAAATTTGTCACCACTATGGTATAAGAGGCACTCCCTCAACACCTAAAGTCCATACCCCCAGCAACAGAAGCCAATATGTGTATGCAAATGGGGCAAACTCTTCTGCACAACCAATTACAGTTGGTGTCCCACAGGGAAGTGTCCTTGCCTCTCTCTTTCTCCTATACAAAAATTTGACCTACCAAAATCTTCGCAATTACTCAAACCCACACTATTTGCAGATGACACTACATACGCCCTTCTCCCACCCGAGCCCAGTCACGCTGGGCCAATACGTAAATACCGAATTACAGAAAATTACTACCGGGATGAGGACTAACAAACTTACACTAAACATTGACAAAACCTATTTCATCATTTGGTAACAGACTACAGATGTCCCTCTTAACATAATGAAAACGGATCACCTATCACAAAGCTAACAGAGGAAAATTCTTAGGAATCCACCTTTGATAATAGACTCAAATTTCATACACATAACAACAATTTCTAAGAAATTTCCAAGACTGTAGGCATACTATCGAAGAAACGGCTAGCTGCACAGCAGCCCTCCTGGCCCTATATCACTCTCTTATTTACCCCTATCTCACCTATGGAATTTTTGCATGGGCTCAACAAAAAAGTAACCATCTCAGACCACTAATTACCCAACAAAAGGCTCAGTTAGAATTAACAAATTCTCACTATAGGCAGCACACTCCACCAATATCAATACACTAAACCTATTCACCAATACAAAACATCATACAATTACCGCACCTATTACATACAGAACACTTAACTCTATATTAACCCTCCCCTCAAATCTCCTTGCCAACCTCAACAGAACACATACCATAAACACAAGGCACAGATCATCTTTGATTTCCTCGTGTCCATCTCACACTATGCAAAACTCAATGCACATAAAAGCCTAAAATCGGAACTCATTACCTGTAAAATAAAAGAAAACTTACCTGTTTTTTAAATTCAAGTCTCTACTCAAAGATCACTTACTCACCCAAAACCAAATAAATACTGAATAACTGAACCTTATAAATTGTATATCTTAAATGTTTCTCACAATTATATCACATAAATGTTAAACCTAAAACCCAATCTAACTTTATTATTTTTAAATACATTACCTAACAGAATACTCCATTCTACTGAATGTACAACAATGCATGCAACCATATGACCTGTCTTTGTAATACTCACTTGTGCTTTATAGTAATCTGTTTACATTAAAGTATTATCACTGATGTCATCATTGCTTAGTTCATCTTAAGTTAATTTTAAGCCAGCCCGTAATGCTATGCATAGTATAAGTGGCTTTGGCATGCTGCTCTTATCTGTATTTTTTGTACCTCTGTATGTGTGCTCAAATTTTTAAATAAATAAATAAATAAATAAATAAATAAACATGAATTTAAATCATGTGCTTCACTGATTCTTACGGTTAAAATACTGGACCGGTAACCGTCTTGATTATATAACTCTGAGTCAGCATATTAACTATGTAAGTATTGTTACAACTTTCTTTTATATCAATATTTGTTTGTTTTATTGGATGAGTCAACATTATGGTGATATAACCTCCAGATAATTGTTATCAACATGAGAACATCTAGGGTATTATGTAAGTAAAAGTTTATTCAGGTACACGTTAATTTAAACCTAAGGTTAATTTGTAATATAATTTATGTAAGTAAAGTTGTGTATTGATTGTGAAATGAATGTATATAGGTTATTATTTATTATTTATTTATTTAATAATGTGATTAGATGAATGTGTGAATGTTGGGAGGGAGTGTTAGGGAGCCCTTAGAGCCCAGCAGCAGCAACAACAGTAACAACAGTAACAGTAACAACAGGAACAATACTAACAGTTATAGTAACTAGAGATATGAACGCTTTTGATCAGTTAGCTGCTGCTGATCCTGTCCTGGCAAGGTTCATCGAGGGAGAGACACAGAAACAACGCTTCCAGGTAAATTGTTAAGAAACAGCGTTATCCTTGTTGTGGTCAAGATGTCCGCCATTACTATCATCTACCAGAGTCGAGAATCACGTAGTAACAGCTACCTATAATCACTCACTAACCTCTGACTATAATCACGTAGTAACAGCTACCTATAATCACTCACGAACCTCTGACTATAATCACGTAGTAACAGCTACCTATAATCACTCACGAACCTCTGACTATAATCACGTAGTAACAGCTACCTATAATCACTCACGAACCTCTCACTATAATCATGCAGTAACAACTAGAATCATTTACTAACCTCTCATTATAATCACGCAGTAACAACTATAATCATTTACTAACCTCTCACTATAATCACGCAGTAACAACTATAATCATTTACTAACCTCTCACTATAATCACGCAGTAACAACTATAATCATTTACTAACCTCTCACTATAATCACGCAGTAACAACTATAATCATTTACTAACCTCTCACTATAATCACGCAGTAACAACTATAATCATTTACTAACCTCTCACTATAATCATGCAGTAACAACTATAATCATTCACTAACCTCTTCCTATAATCATGCAGTAACAACTATAATCACTCACGAACCTCTCACTATAATCACGCAGTAACAACTATAATCATTTACTAACCTCTCACTATAATCACGCAGTAACAACTATAATCATTCACTAACCTCTTCCTATAATCATGCAGTAACAACTATAATCACTCACGAACCTCTCACTATAATCACGCAGTAACAACTATAATCATTCACTAACCTCTCACTATAATCATGCAGTAACAACTATAATCACTCACGAACCTCTCACTATAATCACGCAGTAACAACTATAATCATTTACTAACCTCTCACTATAATCACGCAGTAACAACTATAATCATTTACTAACCTCTCACTATAATCACGCAGTAACAACTATAATCATTCACCAACCTCTTCCTATAATCATGCAGTAACAACTACCTATAATCACACACTAACCTCTGGAGTTTACCTGGAGAGAGTTCTGGGGGTCAACGCCCCCGCGGCCCGGTCTGTGACCAGGCCTCCTGGTGGATCAGAGCCTGATCAACCAGGCTGTTGCTGCTGGCTGCACGCAAACCAACGTACGAGCCACAGCCCGGCTGGTCAGGAACCGACTTTAGGTGGTGCTTGTCCAGTGCCAGCTTGAAAACTGCCAGGGGTCTGTTGGTAATCCCCCTTATGTATGCTGGGAGGCAGTTGAACAGTCTTGGGCCCCTGACACTTATTGTATGGTCTCTTAACGTGCTAGTGACACCCCTGCTTTTCATTGGGGGGATGTTGCATCGTCTGCCAAGTCTTTTGCTTTCGTAGTGAGTGATTTTCGTGTGCAAGTTCGGTACTAGTCCCTCTAGGATTTTCCAGGTGTATATAATCATGTATCTCTCCTGCCTGCGTTCCAGGGAATACAGGTTCAGGAACCTCAAGCGCTCCCAGTAATTGAGGTGTTTTATCTCCGTTATGCGCACCGTGAAGGTTCTCTGTACATTTTCTAGGTCTGCAATTTCACCTGCCTTGAAAGGTGCTGTTAGTGTGCAGCAATATTCCAGCCTAGATAGAACAAGTAACCTGAAGAGTGTCATCATGGGCTTGGCCTCCCTAGTTTTGAAGGTTCTCATTATCCATCCTGTCATTTTTCTAGCAGATGCGATTGATATAATGTTATGGTCCTTGAAGGTGAGATCCTCCGACATGATCACTCCCAGGTCTTTGACGTTGGTGTTTCGCTCTATTTTGTGGCCAGAATTTGTTTTGTACTCTGATGAAGATTTAATTTCCTCGTGTTTACCATATCTGAGTAATTGAAATTTCTCATCGTTGAACTTCATATTGTTTTCTGCAGCTCACTGAAAGATTCGGTTGATGTCCGCCTGGAGCCTTGCAGTGTCTGCAATGGAAGACACTGTCATGCAGATTTGGGTGTCATCAGCAAAGGAAGACACGGTGCTGTGGCTGACATCCTTGTCTATGTCAGATATGAGGATGAGGAACAAGATGGGAGTGAGTACTGTGCCTAGTGGAACAGAGCTTTTCACCGTAGCTGCCTCGGACTTTACTCTGTTGACGACTACTCTCTGTGTTCTGTTAGTGAGGAAATTATAGATCCATCGACCGACTTTTCCTGTTATTCCTTTAGCACGCATTTTGTGAGCTATTACGCCATGGTCACACTTGTCGAAGGCTTTTGCAAAGTCTGTATATATTACATCTGCATTCTTTTTATCTTCTAGTGCATTTAGGACCTTGTCGTAGTGATCCAATAGTTGAGACAGACAGGAGCGACCTGTTCTAAACCCATGTTGCCCTGGGTTGTGTAACTGATGGGTTTCTAGATGGGTGGTGATCTTGCTTCTTAGGACCCTTTCAAATTATTATTATTATTATAATCAAGGGGAAGCGCTAAACCCGGAGGATTATACAGCGCCTGGGGGGGGATGTGGAAGGCATTCAGGCTGAATTCGGGGAACTGGAGCACAGATCCAATTTCCTAAATCAAGAGCCCCTCACCAACATCAAGGAACCTTCCTTGAGGGGAGGACCCTTTCAAAGATTTTTATGATATGGGATGTTAGTGCTATCGGTCTGTAGTTCTTTGCTGTTGCTTTACTGCCCCCTCTGTGGAGTGGGGCTATGTCTGTTGTTTTTAGTAACTGTGGGACGACCCCCGTGTCCATGCTCCCTCTCCATAGGATGCAAAAGGCTCGTGATAGGGGCTTCTTGCAGTTCTTGATGAACACAGAGTTCCATGAGTCTGGCCCTGGGGCAGAGTGCATGGGCATGTCATTTATCGCCTGTTCGATGTCATTTGGCATCAGGATAACATCGGATAGGCTTGTGTTAACCAAATTTTGTGGCTCTCTCATAAAAAAAATTCATTTTGATCTTCGACTCTCAGTCTGGTTAGCGGCTTGCTAAAAACTGAGTCATATTGGGACTTGAGTAGCTCACTCATTTCCTTGCTGTCATCTGTGTAGGACCCATCTTGTTTAAGTAGGGGCCCAATACTGGATGTTGTTCTCGGCTTAGATTTGGCATAGGAGAAGAAATACTTTGGGTTTCTTTCGATTTCATTTATGGCTTTTAGTTCTTCCCGCGATTCATGACTCCTATAAGATTCCTTTAGCTTGAGTTCGATGCTTGCTATTTCTCTGACCAGTGTCTCCCTAAGCATTTCAGATATATTGACCTCTTTTAGCTGCTCTGTTATTCTTTTCCGTCGCCTGTAAAGGGAGCGCCTGTCTCTTTCTATTTTACATCTACTCCTCCTTTTTCTTAGAGGAATAAGCCTTGTGCATACATCGAGTGCCACCAAGTTAATCTGTTCTAGGCATACGTTGGGGTCTGTGTTGCTTAGTATATCTTCCCAGCTTATATCGGTTAGGACTTGGTTTACTTGGTCCCACTTTATGTTTTTGTTATTGAAGTTGAATTTGGTGAATGCTCCCTCGTGACTAGTCTCATTATGTCGGTCTGGGGCTCCACGCATACATGTCTGAACCTCAATTATGTTGTGATCTGAGTATATTGTTTTTGATATGGTGACATTTCTTATCAGATCATCATTGTTAGTGAAGATGAGGTCTAGTGTATTCTCCAGTCTAGTAGGCTCTATTATTTGCTGGTTTAAATTGAATTTTTGTGCAGAGATTTAAAAGCTCGTGTGAGTGTGAGTTTTCATCAGAGCTGCCTCCTGGTGTTATTACTGCAACAATATTATTTGCTATATTCCTCCATTTTAGGTGCCTTAAGTTGAAATCCCCCAGGAGCAAGATGTTGGGTGCAGGAGCTGGAAGATTTTCCAGACAGTGGTCAATTTTTAACAGCTGTTCCTGGAATTGCTGGGATGTTGCATCCGGAGGCTTGTAGACTACCACAATGACTAGGTTTTGGTTCTCGACCTTTACTGCTAAAACTTCCACTACATCATTTGAGGCATTTAGCAGTTCTGTGCAAACAAGTGACTCTGCAATGTACAGGCCAACCCCCCCCCCCCTTTTGCCTGTTCACTCTGTCACATCTGCATAGGTTGTAACCTGGGATCCATATTTCGTTGTCCAAGTGATCCTTTATGTGGGTCTCATTAAAAGCCGCGAACATTGCCTTTGCCTCTGCAAGCAGCCCACGGATGAAAGGTATTTTGTTGTTTGTTGCTGGCTTTAGACCCTGTGTATTTGCAAAGAAGAATTTCATCAGACTGGTGGTATTGTTGGTACTGGGGGGGGATTTTTTCTCCGGCATTAGTATCTGTATCTGTTGGTTTGGAGTGGAGGCCATCGACTGTGGTTCCACTCCAGGAATGACTGGATTTGGTGTACGATTTCTGCCATTTCCTGCCAGTTTTTTTTCCTTCCTGGCACTAAAAAACCTCTCCCTTTTGAGTGACTGTGGCTACCCAGGTTTTCCCATGACCTGGATGTTTTGTATCTTTTTGTACCCTTTAGATGGTATGCCTGGCAATTTAAGTTATAGCACAGTCTTTCCTGTACTGAAGAGGTACACATTTCAGGGTGAAAAAGCTTACAGGAAGGGAGTTTGTATTTTCCTGTTGTCATACAATCATGCAGTAACAACCATAATCATTCACTAACCTCTCACTATAATCACACAGTAACAACTATAATCACTCACTAACCTCTCACTATACTCATGCAGTAACAACTATAATCATTCACTAACCTCTCACTATAATCATGCAGTAACAACTATAATCATTCACTAACCTCTCACTATAATCATGCAGTAACAACTATAATCATTCACTAACTTCTCACTATAATCACACAGTAACAACTATAATCATTCACTAACCTCTCACTATAATCATGCAGTAGTAACAACTATAATCACTCACTAACCTCTCACTATAATCATGCAGTAACAACTACCTATAATCACACTTACCTCTCACTATAATCACACAGTAACAAGTATAATCATTCACTAACCTCTC